CGTGGTAATCGTTTAAGGAGAATTAATCCGCCCCTCCGAACAGCTTGTCTCCCCGCAGAAGCTCGGTTGGCGGTCAGGCAGACAGACTTCCTCCCCCTCCTCTCCCTCCCCCCTCCTCCTCCTCCTCCTCCTCCTCCTCCTCCTCCCTCTTTGGAAAAGTCATGTTCAGTAAAATCGGAAACAAGGTTTCTGAGCCTCGAGCCGCTGGAGTGACTCAGAATTATTAATATCTTTGACATGCAGGTGGAGCGGGGGGCCTTCTCCCCCGGCCGCCGAGCGTTTGAAACGCGCCGAAGGAGACGGCAGGAGAGAGGAGCCGCTAAAATACGACCATGTGCAGGTTCGCTCCTAACGAGAGCTTCCTGGCAGGGCTACAGAATCCTGCGTGGAAGTAGTCACGCGGGAATCAGAGCTGCGCTCCCAGACGACGTTAGAAAAATGTTTCACATCCTGCCATCCTTTCTGGATCATCTGTTTGGGTTTTTTCCTTTTTTTTCCCTTTTTTTTTAAAGCAAAACGTTGTGTTCGACAGAATGTGAGGACGGGACGGGGGATTTTGGGGATTTTTTTTTTTTTTTTCAATTATGCTCTGAGATGATGAAACTGTTAGTCCTTCAAAATCCACTGGAGGAAACACAGGACTGATGTTTTATATCTGACATTAACACATGAATGATCTACGACAGTGGTGTCAAACTCACTTTGGTTCAAGCTAACTCCAGTACAATCATGACATAATTACCTGTAAATAACAACAATAACAAAAGAATGTTTCTTTTTTTCTCTTTGTTTTCATGCAAAGAAGTACAAACATATTAGATTTAAAAAAAAAAACAATTCCCGAGAAGTGTTTGTGTATTTTTGTTTTTATCAAAATGGGCCGGGTTCAAACACTAAGCGGGCCAGTTCTGGCCCACGGGCCTTATGTTTGACACCCCCGATCTACGAGATTTAAAAAAAAGTAAACTTCCCTGTAAAACATTTTTCGTGTTGACCATTGGTCTGTCAAAATGAAGACGTTAATTAATTTTGGAAAATAATCAGGTTGAACTGTTTACCCAATAATTTCACTATTTTTTTCTTTTCGAACGTGACGCTGATTCACTTGTCAAGATACGGTTATAAAAAGTGCAGCGAAAGCTGTGTTGGAATTTCTTGCGCCACATTTATTGTGCAAAACAGGAAGGTCAGTCGACGGCTCCATTAGTCACAGATGTAAAAATAAAAGAATGTAGAAGTAGAAAAGTAGAAAAGTAGAAAAGTAGAAAAGTACGGACGGTGACGGCGTCGCTGCTGGTTTAAAGCAGCGGTCCCCGACCCTGTGTTTAACAGATGGTCCGTTAATACCGCGCCATCGTTGAAGGATCAGTACATTTTCAAAATAAAAGACTTTATTTTGTTAGTATCAGTGTCTGAATGACCTTTGACCTGTTGTTTTGAAACACTGACAGATGAAGGAAAACAGTGAAGGGATACGACTGGATTATTAATGAATGAAGTCAATTTTTTTTCACTGAGGCCCAGTAACAAATGACCCACGGACCGGCACCGGTCCTCTGACCAGGGGTTGGAGACCCCTGTTTGACAGCACAGCAACGCTGACACCTAAAGGTCAACGTCTCAGGTCAACAGAACTAGAGGAAGGAGCTGGAACTGAGGTTCAGCTTCATTTCACCTCCACTGACGTCCTTCCTGTGTGAAACTTCTGCAGTACTGCAGTACTAAAGCTGTGCAGTACCCCCCCCCACCCATCCCCCCCCCCAGGTGTATGCTGGTCTGTCAGGCGTGTTAAACAGATGCACACTGACAACATTACGGCCTCTGTCTTCTGATGCTGCGTGCCATCAATTTCTCACCTGTCACCTCGGAGCCGGCGGAAGAGTCGTCTTCCGATGTTGCTGAAAACGGCCTGTTCGGTTCCGCACGACCACGAGAGAGTTGTACATCTGGGTCCCAGCGCTGCATGATGTCAAGGCTGGCGCTGACCCAAAGCCCCGCCGCACAGAGAGTTTCTCACAGAGGTCGGCGGGGCGTCGTTTTCCCTTCCTGTGCCTCCGTGACATCTTCCTGCTGCGGTGGAGCCTCAGGGAGCCATTCTGGAGGCCGGGGCCCCGAGCATGGAGAACTTGGCACAGAGAACTCCAATTAGCCCAGCAGAGCAGGTAGGGTAGGGGGGGGGGGGGGGGGGGGGTCAGACCTCCAGCTAACACCTCAAAACTCTGCGTCCACGCAGCGTGGCGTGCCGCGGGGGCAGAACCTGACGATGTTTGCGGCCTGAGTCAGAGAGCGAGCGTCAGACAGGAACTCAGGCTCAGCTGCGCCGGTGTTTGAGCCACATTCTGCCTGTTGGAGTCATCACCAGAGGCTGGAGACCCACATGGGGAGCCCACAGAGACTGGGCTGCTTCTGCTGTCCAGCAGTTGTCAAATGTTTTCCACTGAAACTTGGACCCAAGCTGTGAGTGAAAAAAAAAAAAAATCATCAAAAATAAATCCAACAACTTTTCCATCCGACCGTTTTGTGCGGCGGTGAAAACAATGGCACCGGCGCTCCTTCAGTGGTTCCAGAAAAACAAACAGGGTTTCCCCTCAGTCGCGACCCCTGACTCCTCACCCCGTCTCTCCCTGCCCAGTGGGTCGACAGCGGTGATTTATCCCCCTGACGTTCCGACAGCTGTGTTGGGGGCTCAGAGCCCAGAGAAGCTTCTATCTGCTGTGACTAATGGATAACAGACTTCAAAAAAGGAAAACCACTAATAATAAAATACCGGGAAAAAAAACAACACCAGAAAAACTGAACACGGACACGGAACTGCCATCATGGAAGAAAATATATTTACTGAACAATATTATCCTGAAAAGTTCTGACTCTCTAACAACATTATTTTATTATTAGATATATATTTTTTAAACTATATTTACTCTTTATAAATATCTTTTACCAAAAGCTTTGACTCTCTAACAACATTATTTTATTATATATATATTTTTAAAAATATATTTACTCTTTATAAATATATTTTACAAAGAGCTGCCAGCTTTGTAAATAATAATTAAATAATTTAACTTGAAATGAGGCAAAAATGTGCTTTTAATTTGATAAAATATATTTTATTTAACAACAAAAAAACAACAACAACAAAAAGAAACAAAAAACAAAAGAAAAAAAAACCAAACTCATAAGTTTCCAACAAATGCACTGCATCTGTGAAAGACTTATGTTCAGTTATTAATCAAGTATAAATAGTCTTTGCACTCTTCATCAAGCATGTGTATGTGTGTGTGTGTGTGTGTGTGTTCTTGGTAGACCTACTTGTGGGGACATATTTTTTTTGGCAAAAAAAAAAAGAAGAGCGTAACAAATGTTAGCGACACATCGACCTCGTGGGGATATTTCTACCAGTTTCCACTGAGGGAGAGGGAACCTTCAAGGTTTGAGATTTAGTTTGGAGTCAGGATTAGTTTAGAGTCAGGATTAGGATTGAGATTTGGCAAAAAAAAAAAAATGTAAAAGTTGAAGTTTTGGCAGAGGATTAGAAAATGAAGCATGTATTTATCTGTGTGTGTGTGTGTGTGTGTTATCTCCAGCGTGGACTCTTCCCTGAGTAAGGCTTGAATTATTCTCCTGTTTGCTGATGACACCCTGCTGGTTGGTCAGCGCCTCAGCCTCAGTGGAGCCAGGCCTCTCATTTTTAAACAGTCTTTTCCGTCTTTTATCTGCAAACAGAAGATGATGAAGAAGGAGAGTCAACAAAAACAACAACAACAACAACAACAACAACAACAGCAACAACAACAACAACAACAACAACAACCACAGAGACATCCAACATTCCAATATTTCACTATCCTGAATTAAAAGCCCCCACTGACCCAACTCCAACTGAAACAACACCTTCACCGCCGTGTTTTGACAACAGCCATTTTTCCAACAACAGCGCGCGTCAGGGTTTGAGCGGTGCGTAAAAGTCCGCGTGCGGCGGCGCAGCCTGAGCCCCTGCGTAAAAGTGCGGTATTTCAGCCGCATAAACTGTTGACGTGAAATGACGACAGATAGACATATATTAAACTAATGTGAACCAATAAACGACGTGTTTTCAAGTATGATCCATTAATTGCGATAAAACCGCAGCACTGACACCGTGCACCGTGCTCTGTTTGTGCGTTTTTTAAAACAACTTTTACTTTATTTACCCCTTTCCTCTGGTTGCTGAGGCAGAACGTGCAGATGGTCCGCGGCTGCTTCGAGCCGCTCTCCTCCTGCACATGGACCGCGCCGAGGCACGGCTGTCCGTCGGCGCAGCCGTCCCCGATGAGGAGCACGTTGGCCAGATGGGAGATGTAGCTGGACGCCAGGCGGAGAGTCTCGATTTTGGACAGCTTTCTGTCCACGGGCTCCGTGGGTATGAGTGTCCGCAGGGCGGTGAAGGCGGTGTTGACGCTCTGCGTCCGGCCTCGCTCCCTGGCGTTGGCCGCGATCCTCTGCTTGATGACGCCTCCGCCGCCGGAGTCTCCTTCCAACTTGCGCGAAATCCTGCGGCGTTTCTCGCTGGAGTCTCCGTAGCTCTGCTCCGAGCCGCCGTCGCTCTCGCTGCGGTTGTCGTCGTCGTCGGACAGCAGGGACAGGTCGGAGTAGATCAAGTGCGTCGTCACAGGCCGCAGCATGGCAAAAGTCATCATGGAGAGAGAAAGAAAGAAAGAAAGAAAGTAAGAAAGAAAGTAAGCGGCGATCAGCAGCGGCTCCAGGTCAGAAAAAGTCCGAGCGGGAAGGGGACGTTTCCACTACATCTCAGTCCGGACAGATTAAACCACCTGCGAGGGAGAAAGGCGGAGGAGAGAGGGAGGGAGGAGGAGGAGGCGCTGCGGTCGGCGTGGTTCCTTCAGCGGCTCCTCAGGATCAACATTTCAGGGATGGACCCGGACTACCTGCTCATCTGGGTTCTTATAGCTGGGGAGGGGAGGGGCCGCGGGGGTGACTGCTGAGGAGTTTAAAATATATGGTGACAGAATATATGTGAGCAGGAAAATACAGACAGGGTCAATATATGAGATGTTAAATATATTCAGAGACCTGGTGGGGTCAATATATGAGATGTTAAATATATATATATTTAATATAAACACTGACTGGGTGAAAATGAGATGAAGTCAAAGTGTGGGTTTAAAAAAAAAAGTACAAGAGAGTAAATGTAGAGCGAATACTGCAACTTAATACGGCAGCAGAATGGATTGTACACAGTACATAAAACACGGCAGTACTAGTTCTTCTATCAGTCATGGGTAATTCAAGAACAAGTACTTCAATTGGGCAGAAGTAAAGTGAGAACTGTAGCAGAACTGTTTCTTGGTACACATGCAGTACGTGAAGTACCAAGTACTGCATAGTAGTTTTTTAGCCAAGTAAAAACTTTAAGCAGTGCAAATTATTTTTTCATGTATTTAAATTCAGTATTTAATATTTTTATATATTCATGTAAAGTAAAAAAAGTTTACCTTAAACACATTTTAGTGCTAGCGCTAAGCTAATTTACAGCTAACATATTTTTTAGCATATCTAACTGTAAACTGTAGTTTATAATGACTTTAATGATCAATTATTATCAATGTATTTTTTATGGTTGTTGTTGTTGTCGTTGTTGTTGTTGTTGTTGTTGTTATAATCTAAATATCCACCACAGGTTAAATGACTTCCTCTTTTCTGTCTTCATAATAAATCCTGCTCCAGGCCGGAGCTGAGGGTCAGTGGACGGCCGGCAGGAGAACGACCGGCTCTGACCAGATGATCCTGGAATGGCTGGGAATTTATTTGCCCCCTCCCCTTACCCCCCCTCTGAGTTCAGAAAAACAAACCAGTGGCAAAAGGATGATTTAGGTCTTTAGAGCCACTCTGGACACAGACCTGTCTCCACCAATCACAGCCGGCGGCACATTCACATTCACATTCAGTCTGCTCCAGCCAACGTAGAGATTAAAATGCGAATAAATAAAAAAATGGAATTTTTCACAAAATCATTTTAACTTCATTATAATTTATTCTACGAAAAAATTTATTTATGTATGTATAATGTATTTTCATGAAAACACAACATTAATATAGTGAGTGTCTAAACCTGGGAATGATGTTACCGTTCATTACATTTATTAGATTAGATTAGATTAAAGCAACAAAATGCAGATAAAACAGAATTAAATAAAAATATATAACATATATTTGATAATCTCAGTTAATCACTCACTAGCTGCTATGCAAGAGGCCTGCAACACATGGTCCACGCCCCCCGGTGGTCTGTAAGGGTATTGCTGGTTGACCCTGACCTTGCATTTTCAATGTCAGCCCAGCTCCATCATGGATCAGTTTGTTACAGGACCCTAATCTGAACACATGTCCTCATTCTGGACTGTGCTCCCTAGGTTTTCACACAATGTTTCTCTTCCATTTGACCTGGAGATAAAGAGTACAGTAAATGTTGTTAACGCTACCCTCTGGTGTCCACATCTATTTTTGTTTCCTCGACTCTGGCAGAGCTAATAAATGTAAAAAAAACTATTAATTATACTATTATTATAAATTTTACTAAAGTGTGTGACAACCATAAATGAAAGAGAAACATTTTTTTAAATATATTTATTTTGAGAATAAATCCCCCCATGTACAGAACAACCTGTTAAAATAACTTGATTTTTCCTGTTTTACATCAAATACTTTATACTTTTAAAGATCAACTCATAATTGTTCAAGAATTTGTCTGTGTTTTGCCTCAAACATTGTCCAAAAAACCTACAATTTTGAGAAGAGAATTTCAGTCTCTGTCTAATTTTTCCAGTTCGTTCTGACCCACAGACCACATCTGTTCAGTCCTCACTGGGAACCGAGGCAGTTTTGTTTTTTCCAGCCCCCTCAGTGAAGCCCTCTGTCGTGGATTCTTGATAGAGCTGCACAGAGAAGAAAGTTCATGCACAACGTCTCTGTGGTGCTGAGGTTAGAGGGTGGACACAGCCGCGCAAATCTGGCACAGATTACACGCCTGCAGTCGGCAGTAGTCTCAGGGAATTCCGGATAGGAAGCTGTGAAAAGACCCCCGTCCACCCGTCCACCCAAAACTGAACTCTTTCAAGAGGATTTGGCTGTAATGCCTCTCTGAGTGGAACAAATGGGCGAGCAGGCTAACCAGAGATCAATTTCAGTATATATATTTTTTTAGTCTCTACAGGAGCGCCGTGATCAGACGTGTTTCAGATGAAGAAGTCTGTCCAGTCTGTAGACCTTCATCTCAAACCGAGCCACCGTAATGTCACACAAATAAAAACACAGTCTGTTTAACTACATTATTACACTCCTGTAATCTGATCGTCTTCATCAGGTCACACTGGTCTGAGGAAGGGGAGACTTGAAGTCTTGAGTGGTTTTATAGCCGGGGGCAAATATTACAGTAGTCTGAATATATA